TATATAAACACCGCAAGACGGTGCCAAAGCAACATGACCGTTCAAAAAAGAAAAATTAACGATATGGAAAGACAAATTGTCACTTGTTTTCTTCGGACCGTTTGGAGCACCTCCTTTTGCCATTTTTGTTTTTATTCAATGTTTGAAAATATTTCGTTAATATAAAAATAAGGAGATATGGTATGATTGCCAATTAAACAAATATCTACCAAAGTTCAATTGGAGTGGATACAAGTAATTATAGGCAATCGTACGGCCTTTAACAATGAAAAAACCCATATCGTATTGTCGGCTATAAAAGGCCCCGACATGAAAAATATGAAACAATTCAATTGAGTAAACTAATAACAAAACAATTTACGAAAAACACATATGACAGACATGAACCAACGACAACCATAAGAGAAAAAAACGGCAACTCATGCACTCAATTGCAGGCTTGGTACAGGCACATATAGAATGTGGCGGGGTTAAACATGTTTGAAGGCGCCAACCCTCCCCTCACCCTGGACAGTGGTGTAACAGTACAACATAGAATAAATTATAAAATTCAAGTATTTAATTTAATATAGATAAGAAGATGTGGTATGAGTGGCAATGAAACAACTATCCATCCAAATCACAATTATAGGTGAATAAAAATGCAGCGGGTTTAAACGTTTTAACAGGCGACAAAGTATGTTTTTTTAGCGTTCTTTTGAACGCACACATGAATTTTACTACCGATTTTGCTGCGAATTCTAATATTCTCTTCAAAAATCAAAGACGGTCACTTCGGAAAAGTCGACAAGAGTGCTATCTTAACTCACAGTCGTAAGTGTATACTAAGATAGGTGTAAAATTGTTAAGAGCTCTTAGTACCATCGTAACGTTCTCGTAAAGCGTTCGTAAGTCTTCTTTTAAATGAAACTTAAGATAGGTTTTCATGATACAGGCCCCAGGTTCCATCGTTCAGCCGCTTTGTTCCCCACAATTTGCTGCCGGACTTGGTTTTAGATATGTTTGTAACCTCCACCTACACAGCTCAAAAAACTGTTCGGGACTTGAATCGTTCGTGACTTTCTTTTTCCTTTCCTTTCCTTTCCTTTATTAGCATGAAACCTTCATTTACAAAATCTCATCCGCCTGCCTGCGAATTCCTGTTGTATTTAAAGTAACGGTGTATTTAAAAACGTCACAATATTTAAGCGTCATGCCAAACCATCGCACTTCAGCAAAATTACCATCGTACTTCAGCGCAGACCATCGCACTTCAGCGTGACCGTAGCACTTCAGCGTCCCCATCGCACCTCCGAGTCCTACATATATATATATGAAATAAAACATTCATTCATTCATTCATTCATTCACAATTTGCAACAGACGAATTTACAGTCAAAATTTTAAGGAAACTTTAATAGTGATCATTAACATTTCCGTTTTGAAAAGGGATGTTCCTTTGGCATCTCTTACTGTGTTTATACATCCCAACTCGTTCGCTATGCACTTGTCCGTACTGACGTTTTGGATTTATATGAACGTAATCTATGTACGACTGGTAAATTATTAAGTCATTTTATTTACCACAAATGACATGAAAACGTTTACTAAATTATTTGATATATACCAACATTTAGTTTAGAAGTTTGTCTGTACCAGTAGACGACTTATTGAAAAACGGGAAAGCACATCATAATGTTTACGGTGATGTTATTTACCGAGCCCGTGAATTTAGATACTATCTGGAAAAACTTATCGATCCTTAAAATAAACTTATACTAAAAGGTTACCAATTCAACACTGTTATAAGATCTTTGAACATTGTTTTTTTTTGTCGGTATAAATATTTATTTTGTTATCAATAATTCGAATTCAACTAAATATTATTGTCAAACAAATATGTACATTCACGGTCCTACAATCTGTAGAAACCTATGTTTTGGCATTGCACAAGGTCATGTTTTCTCTGTCTGTTAATGGCTTCTTTACACTGAATCCATTTGAAGTTGGATGCTTACTGATACTTTAATCTTAGATACATGATTTTTATCAGTATTTATTGGCTTTGAACTAGTTTTCAGTAACTGATCTGTACTTTGGGTCTCTTGTTTTTTTTTAAGTTGTTTTTGTGCTTCTTATCGATCTGATAAGTTAAGCCCTTTTAGCTTATTTTTAAAATTTGTTCTTAAGCTGTACTGTTATACCACATTCCAAGGTAAGGGGAAGCTCGACAACATGTTTAACCCCGCCACATTTTGTATGTGCCTATCCCATGTCAGGAGCCTGTAATCTAGTGGTTGCCGTTTGTTGTTGTATAACATAATTTGTTTTTGTTTATTATTTTATACATAAATCAGGTCGTTAGTTTTCTCGTTTGAATTGTTTACATTTGTCATTTCTATGCCTCTTATAGCTTGATTTGCGATATGGGTTTTGCTCATTGCTGAAGACCGTGCAGCGACCTATAGTTGATAATCTTCTACGTCATTTGGTCTCTGGTGGAGATTTTGTCTCATTGGCAATCATACTACATCTTCTTATTTTTATATTTAAAATAAATTTGTGTTAAATTTATGTATTTTCAGTGCGAATGAAAATTAGTTTGCAACGTAAATTATCTATTTTTTACAACCCGAAATGGCCATTTACCCTATGAAAATAAATAAAACCGAGCAAAGAAAAATTATTTCAAACTTTGTTTGGGAAACTTCAAAATCAATTAGAAAGAGCTTGACTCACCACATTAGTACTAAGCACAAAGACGAATAATAAAAAAATTCAAAAGACACAAATCGTCGATCTAAGATAACTGTAAGCTAGTTCAAAATTCAATTTCAAATTGTAACTAAACCATGCTATCCCAGACTTAAATATCAATTAATAAACTTCCGACAGATTGTGTGAAAGACGTCAAATAAACTCATCATAGATACCAAGATGAAAACTTTGTACGCAGGTTTCGTCTACAAAAGAGTCATCAGTGATACTCGAATCAAAAAAGTTAAAAAGGCCAAAAAAAAGTACGAAGTTAAAAAGTATTTAACAAAAGCAGTCTTACAACACCACGACCTTGTGTATAAGACATAAGACTGCGAGTGTTAAATATAATAACTGGCTAGCAGTTAGATTTGTGGATTTGTATTAAACTGTTTCAAATCAAATCAAATTGAATGTTAGTAGTGATCATGACAACATAAGTCAGATAATTAACATAAAATATTAGTTAAAAATTGCATATGTTTTTGTAAATAATAAATCTCTTTATGTCGTTTCAATTTGTCAACTGCCATCTTCTAAAAAAAATCTAAATAAACGTGTATATCCGAAAAAGTCCCTTTAACTTTGCCAGGGTGATTTAATTCAACAGGTAAGGATTTGCTAATTTGGTTGGTATGTTTCCCCAACGCTTTCATGTTTAACCCTTGTTCATATTAAAATTATTGACGTGTTATATATAAAGAAGACAAAATCTTAGTGGATGATATTTAAGGAATAAGTCCGCATACAGAGTTCATGTAGTAACATTATAATCTTTTTCAAACCAAACGTTTCATAACTTGCTGCTCTCCTCGGTTGATATGTTATAGACAAATAAGAATAGTATATATTATGATAACTCTGTTTTAATTAATAAAAATGTGGATGCATCATTACGGCAGCAATACAACGATCAATGGGCACGTCTACCCAATTATTCATATGTCAAGTTATAAATCACTGCAAATCTACAAAATTTCGAAAAAAGTTCCCATCAACACTAATAAAAAAAAAGTGATAATAAAAAATCCGGAAACAAACAAATAACATACGGATATAATTTGAATTCGAATTCTAGAGAGCTTAAAAATAACAAGACTCTAGTGAAGACAAGCAAAATTTTGAAATTGAAAATTTCAACTTCGATAGAACATTATATTTCCCATTGATATTTCTGTAAAATGTCACCAGGCTAATTTGGACTTATATTTGATTTTATCATTTTATTTAGAAATTTGATTTTAGAGAAATATGGTTTTACAAATTTAGAAATTTACATGTCACGAGAAAGCATGTATTATCTTAACTAGTGACATTTGATGAAATACATATTTGCGACAGATATATTTTTTGTGAAGTTACTAAAATTAATATGAGAAACTTTTATCCTTAATTCATACTAAAGGTTTAAAAATAATGTACAAAAAAAATGGGGGGGGGTGTGTGTAATAATGATATTTTTTTTTTTATATACGAGTAATAATTATGAATATCTTTTATATTCTTTTTTTAATGTGAAAGCTGTCACTTATGGCTTAAGGTTATGAGATGTCATTTTAATCAGAGTATTTCTATATTACACGCTTGTCATATTAATTGAGTATTGTCTGTTTTCAATATTTAGTATAAATATTGTTTATGAAATATGTTTAAAATAGAACACAAAATAGAACTGATAGAGTAGGGTAATACCATACGTAGTATTGTACTATTACAGTAGGAGTCATATTGTATTGACAATAACCATTGTATGAAAGTTCGGCTTGGAATTCAATGATAAAACTTGAATGTATTGGATATTCGTGAACTGCACCTACTAGTTTCTGTCATTGGTGTTCTAAATACTTTAATGTTTTTCTGATGAATCTACAAATAAAAGTCATGACCCCGCAACATTCAGGAGCCAACCCAGTACCAGCAGCCTCCTTTGTTACAAATACATAGCAGATTGAAAATTTTCAAACCGTCTCATAATATACCAAACTTTCTTGGAAGCGCTACCATATTTTATATATATTTGCATATATTGTAATAAAGAAATGCACTTCGTGTTGTATAATCAATTTTTGAAACATCATATTACCACGCAGTAAGTGTAATATATTCGATATTAGTCATTTAAACCCTGTTAATAAATAAAGAAGGATATTTTACCAGATCTGTCTATTGTAAAATAACAAATACAACGGTCCTTCGATCCTTTTTATTTATCAATATCTAGTTTCTCACTAAAATGATACGAGTGACTGATTAAACTTACTTACCATCATCACACACATAAACTCTCAGAATAATTAAAACGACAGCTATCACAAATTGCTTCATAACGGAAACCACAACCAGGAAGTTAATATTTTAACATAACAATGTTCATAAAGAAATAACCGGTCTTTTGTTGGCAAATAGAGCGTGAATTAATATGAAGTGATATTTAAACATATTACATACACAACAAAACAAAACAAAACATAGTCTTTCATAGCTTTAAACTATACTTTATGTGATTAATTAGAAACGGTTCTTTCTTTTTAATTCTGAAAAAAAAACTAAATTGAGGTTAATGACACTTAAAACTTTCCGACACATATAAAATAGTTAAAAAGGTTTTTATATATAAATTACTAGTGATAGTATGACTAAATTCAGCACTATTCACGACAATCTTCATTATCTATCACTATTGACAAAGACCTTACTTTACAGCAACTAAAAAAACAGGGTTACACTTTAAGGAATACGATTCCATAATTGATCAAAACTACGTATTTTTCCCATCGATTTAAAGACAATTCTAAACGAAATTGCATTGCTTACTTATAAAGAAAACTTTAAAAAAAAGTAAAAATCGTCATCTAAGGGCAATTACTCTTCCCAGGAGTCATCCAATAGCTTCAACTAGTGGTCTCATTTGTAGATCTTGTTTAGCTGATCATTTATGTGGTTTACAGCAATGCCATGCAGATTCTACCTATCTATGATGGTTTTCGAGATTAAAGAAAAAACTAGAAAATATCAAAAAAACGTTATTTATGGACAATAACTATTATAAGGAGTCAATTTATTCTTTTTGTGGAACTTGGAAGTAGGCAGATAACAGAGTTAGCAAACTTTCATTTCCTTGCTCCAGCTTTTGATACTGTTTTTTTTTTCAAAGGCTAGAAATGAAAGACGATTTTACAAATCGGCTGTGTAACTTAATAGATAGACATGCTACGTACGTATAACAATTTAGAACTATCAAATATTGAAAGATTAAAAGCAGCAGACATCTTTATTTATTTAAAGATCACAATTAAGGATGCTCGCTACTCTTGTTTTTGAATTTTTGCCAGATGTTCGGAACCCTCTGGTTTTATCCATGGCGTGACAGTTTAAAATTTTGACCGCTAACCCCTACTTTTCTTTTCATAATTTTATAACATATAGTTTATAAAGCCATATTTGGAAATCTTCTAAAATCCTTGTTATTTTTTCATAGTTTTTGAAAGAAAAAAGGTGCCAATGTTAAATGTATGAAAAGTCTAGAAAGAATCATTTCCCGCCAAATTTTCATTGCCTTAAAATAATAACCTGCAAAATTGGAAAGAAACCACTAAAATGAATACTGATACCCACAAAGACAATATAGAATAAGGGGATGTGGTATGACTTCCAATGAGAAATTTATCCAACAGAGTTCAAATGAGGCGGTTGTTAGCAACTATAGGTTACAGTACAGCCTTCAACAATGAGCAAAACCCTTACCGTAAAGTCAGCTATAAAAGGCCCTAACATTACTTCAAATTTTACGACTAAAACCACTGCAGATTACGCGACAATAAATGCCTCGCTTTTTAAACATGAAACTAGTGATTTAATGGTATAAGCTGCATTTTTTGTTTAGCAGAGAAAATCTCAAATTTGCAGACAACTATTTCCGGATATGAAACAACAAGAAACTTTTCTTTTCTCTAAAACACATGTTTGTATTTTAATGAAAAAAAGACAAAAATACTGCTATATCTACGTGTATAAAAATTATTTTTTTGTTTTTTAAATGTAATACCATGTTCTAAGATGTATGTTTATGTCAGTTAATCACAAAGCTTTCAAGCATATTTACAAATGTATCTATAGAGCATGTCAATGGGACTTTTTCAATGACTGCATGCCTCATGTTCTTGTGACATTTTGATCCTTGGTAATCTAGAGGATTGACAACTGGAAATAATAACATATGTCACATGCAATGCGGAAATTAACCTCCACTTTCAGTGCACTTGAATATCAAAACGGTTTTGATACAAACTAGTAATTTAGTTTCTTTGTTGTGTGTGAGTTTTGTTGATCCATATACCTCAATAAAGGAAAGAGGATACACATGACTGTTGTTACGAGCATTTTAAAATGGAAGAAGCTGATAGTTTGCTCCCGTTGCATTTGCCTTAACTCAATAGAAATATCATGAACAATTATGAATATTTTGCAAAATTGTGATAATGCTAACTTTTTAAAAGAAATTATAGAGATGCTCGTGAAGAAACGAGTATTTTTGTCAAGTGTTAATTTAGCACAAGAATAAGTTATCAGTGTATCAAATAATCATGCTTTTTGTTTGTTGTATGCGATATTTTATGAAGTAAAAAGTAAAATAGCAAAAATACCGAACTCCAAAGAAAATTCAAAAGGGAAAGTCCTTTAGCAAATGGCAAAATCAAAAGCTGAAACACATCAAACGAATGGAAAACAACTGTCATATACTTGACTTGGTATAGGCATTTTCTATGTAGAAAATGGTGAATTAAACCTGGTTTTATAGCTAGCTAAACCTCTCACTTGTATGACAGTCGCATAGAATTCCAACCAATATTAATATAGGACGTACGGCATGATTTCATATGAGCAGGTTAAGTACTCTGAGCTTGCTTTCAGTAACTGCGAGCATTCTTTAATACGATATTATTGTTATTTATTTTGTGTTTTTGTTATGAAGTTATGTTATAATTAAGTATTTTTCATGTTTTTGTATGTTCTATAATTTACGTATTGTTTAACTACCTAATCGAGATTTAAAATAGGTAGGGAGTTGAGGTTTTAATAAACTAGTTGAACCCTGCCACATTTTCGTGAGCCTTTCCTAGGTGAAGGATATCGTTAGCAGTTACTGTAGTCGCATGTCATGACATACAGTTTTTCGTTTCTGTTAAATCTTTTCTCAAATGTTATAGTTTCGGTACAATTTAGGACTCGACATATTGTATAGACATTTGTTCATTGTTGAAGACTGTACGTGGCCCTTGAGGTGTATTTTGGTTTCGTTAGACTGCTGTCTCATTGGCGCATTCCCAATAGTTTTTTTCTGTTTTGTTTTCGTTCAAACAGCAGGAACTGAATATGGAAACCGATATGCTTTTTTGCTTTTTGTCATCTTGAAATATGGAAAGTGTCCAGCAATCAAAATTTGCACTGTATGGAACATACGATCTGACTCCAGTTGGTTCAAATACCTTTATCTTATAGATACAATTGCTGGTAGAAGCTAATTTTCCAGGGATTCAAGCATTCTTTTTGCAGTCAACGTTTAATTACTGATCTCAAGTTATTTACATTCTGCGAAAGAACTAAAGACTACAATGCATTTGATCATATTTTCAAGAATTATGAAATGTTTAAACAGATAAGTATAAAAACTTCAACGTTTTAAACATATATAGTTGTCTGTCCTCACGAATTCGCAGACAAATTGAGTAAAATAATAAATCTGAAATTATTTCGTAAATATTGAATTTGCCGCTTTACGTATATTTTTTCAACATTGCCTCTTCACAGTTCAAATTCCATAACTGTATATATTTGACCAGTTGCATAGCCCTTAATAATATAATTTTTTGTGCAGAACATCCTTTACCAAAAATGAAAAAAAGAATTAGTATTATTTAATCAAGGGCTCAAATTAATAATTTTATTAAAACCAATTTGGGTTTGAATATGAAAGAGCCGAAATAACACGTAAAATATTATCAAAATTTTACAATTATCCATATGATTGATGTTTTTCACGCTCACATTGCTGTATATTTTTATAAGGTTTTGTTGCATCAAAAGATATCCTTAATAAACATTGGTTAACTGGTAACTGAAAGATAGATATTATTATTGCGAGTAAGAATACAACCGTCTTAATATTTCTTTTGGCTAATACCTCAATTTTGTTAAAATGTATCATAAATTGGAATTCTAAGCCATTATTAGGCATGCATAATTTGATTGTGTGTTCGGAAATACACCAACATGTTGTTAGAACCTTATAGTACTCACATGAAGCTGTGATACTATGAATTTTAGTAAAGATTTTGAAACTGGTCTCACTGTGAAAAAAAATGAGAGGAAATTGGCCATATCACTCTGTCTCAGCAATAGTGACTTTGTTTTTCTTGTTCATTTTTTACACAAACTGTTAAAATATGTCAAAAGCTATATATCAAGAAATAATTATGTCATAATGATGTTAGAACCTCAAAATGTTTAAATCAAAGATTAAAAGGATTTGTTTGTGTTTTTTGGGGGATGGAGGGGAGGATGGTCGTAGAAATTTCGAAATCAATTAAGAGGAAACTGACCCTTGTGAGAAATTAAAATAGAGGAATTGGTACACTGGAACTAAGGATCCTATACCACAAGACACAATTGGTTTAATGGTCGATTATCTTTGGGCCTTATGGTTCTTTGGCTCTGTAAAGGTGTCGAAACTGCTCGCAAAATTATCAATTTCAATCCGTGTTCTAAATCGCTTCAAAATAAGAATACTTTCTAAAAATTACAGCAATATCCACATTTTTTTTAAATGAATGTTGGGAAATTGTAGAATCCTACAACTTTCTTATCTTTCGAAAAGAGAACGTAAATTTGAAAAAAAATTGTTTTTTGACATCGTTCAAGACTACATGTTTTTGTTTGTACCTCATTTCTTAGTGTAAAAATAAAATTAAGAACTTTTATACACTTGAGTGCAGGAAAGATTCCTATTTAAACATTAAATATCTACCTACAATTACGAGTATCTCTAAAATTCATATATTTTTTTTTTTTTTTAGAAATCATCAATTTCAGTATTGTTTTCTAAATGATATAATTTTCACTATGTTGAAAGTTCTGCATCATTAATATTAAAATTATGGTCCAAAAGCAAACAATACACTTATTTGTCAGTCGTTTGAATCAACTTAAGAAAAACAAATATTTTGATAGATTATATTGTTTCCCGCAACTTCCATCTTTTTTTAAAGATGCTCGAAAGTTATGAGTCGCCTTATGATTGCTGAGCTTAAACTCGCCACATTCTATATTGATCTGTCCCAAGCCTTTTATTCAGTAGTAGTTGTGGTTGTATCGATATCCTATCATATGTGTTTTTTGTTAATTGTTTTGTACATAAATCAGGCTACTGCTTTTTTTTTTTATTGTTTTATATTTTGTCATGTCAGGGCTTTTTACAGCTTACTATACGTTTTTGGTTTTGCTCATTGTTGAAGAGCGTACGGTGACTATAAATACTTACATCTTCGTCTTTGGATCTCTGATGGATAGTTGTCTCATTGACAATCATAGCACATCTTCTTATTTCTATATTTATAGGTTGGTACTATTGGGCGGGCGGGTATCTTTTTTTGTGTAATACATTAGTCCTATAGTTTTCAACCCACAGCCTTGAAACTTAAAAGAAACACTGTTCACAAACTTTTTTAATTTTTAGATAAGATGATGTCTACATGTTTATCGTGGAATCTTGGTAACTTAGTTATTTCCTTCAGAAGTAAATTTCAAAAGCCGCTACAATTTTTTTGGTGTCTGTGTAACCCGGTCATTTGAGTCTTTGACCCATTTTTTTTTTTACTTTTATCAAGTCTTTCCTGAACTATTTATTTAGGATTGATTTATTTATTGTTAGTTGCTTCACGTCCAGTGACAAATATTTCCTGCATGTTCAGGACGAGAGCAAATTAACAATAAATACAATAGGTAGGTCCTGTAATAGAAGGCGTGAAGGATGAAGGTCTCGGAAATTTTGAATTCCACTGGAAAATGAGGGTTATTGGGTAAAAAACAGAAATTTTGTCTGCAACAGGCCACCTACAGACCCATGCATCAAAGAGTTGTTGCAAGGTTTCTTAACCTGCAGAGAGCGTGGCACTCTCTTTACACGAGGCATCGGATTTAACGTCCCCATTCTTACCGGACGAAACTGCGTACTTTTAAATCCCACACACAAACGGACACCCAATTTGGCAAGGGTTTTACTGCCGGTCGGAAGGAGACCAAGTGACCATATTTCTACTCCCCAGTCACCCTTGGGGAACTTATTTAAGATAATCATGATCTATTTATATTTCAAAACAAACAAAAGCATACGTCGAAGGTAAAGTAATTACAACAAAGACTGTTGTATATACATGCATATATATAGATAGATAGCGCTGTAGATAGTAAATTAGCAATTGGTAGAAAATAGTAATCAAATGTTGTTTCTATTATATTTATGTGAGCTCTTCATTTTTTGAATAAGATTTGGATTTTAAAATATTTTGGCTTCGAGCATCACTGAACAGACATTTATTGTCGAAATGCGCATCTGGTGCAGAAAAATTGGGACCGTTAATGTTATTACACAGAAAAAACACGAAAATAGTTGAAATTAAAAGAAAACCAAAAAATAACGGATTTCGGAAAAAAAAGGAAGGGCAAAGTGTCCTGTCCCCTAATCACTGTGATATTTAGACCTATAACGCATGTAACGTTTCTTTTATCAAGAAAACGGTGCTTATTTTGCGACTTTAATGGACCGGCATAACTACAGCCTAAAATGCAGAACAAACGTTTGACCACCAATCGTATGATGTTGCCCAACAAGACAAATAGTCTATGACAGATGTTTTATACTCCCATGTTATAAGAATATGAGGATGGCATGGGCTTTCATCTTTTATATACCAACAGTGGGTAAGTTATTAACTTCAGCTGGGCTATATGACTTTTTTGTTGTCTTTGGAATTTATGCTCGAAATACAATAAAAAGTAAAATCACAAAAATACTGAACTCCGAGGAAAATTCAAAACGGAAAGTCCCTAATCAAATGGCAAAATCAAAAGCTAAAACACATCAAACGAATGGATAACAACTGTCATATTCCTGACTTGGTACAGGCATTTTCTTATGTAGAAAATGGCGGATTAAACCTGGTTTTAAAGCTAGCGAAACCTCTTACTTGAATGAAACAGATTCTTATTTGCGAACAGTGTAATAATGGTGTTACAGGAGTAACCATTCCCGTTTAAGGCTCTCGTGGTTCCTTTATTTAAAGCATTATTAAATTGATTCAGAGACAAAAACTGTATAAAAAGTATTGAAACCAAACGTATGGAAGGCGTTCCTTGACAGTCATAGTTCATTGCTTGTTCATCCAAAAGCACTGAAGGTATTTAGGTTTTCTTTACTGTCTTTAAAGACCACACATGTGTTTGAAGAATCGAGAACACACACAGGTTTTCTTCGAGGGACCTATGTCGTTAGATTTCCTTTAAGACATCATTTTAACATGCCAGGGTAAAGAGCATGAATTAAAGTTGTGTAAGCTACAAACAGAATTTGGCTTGTACAAGTATTTGATCGTGTGTAGGAAACATCTTACTCACCAAGCAATTTCTGAAGAAGACGACGATGAAAACGATGTTTCATCAACATATGTAATATCAGATATATTGGGAAAATTATTTCGCACAAATATATTACACTAGAACTCATGGAGCTTTGACTATGCGAATGTTTAAAACCATATATGGACAATGAGTGGCCCGGAATTCTAAAACTGTTATGCACTTTGCATGTTAAAGGACCCTTACAGCAATTCTTTCTGAAGGGTCCACAGAAGACAGCTAATGTCAAAATTATTACTCATACAATCTCGATAGTCATATTTGCCGCTGACAACCGGTATATAATTAATATATTACACTAGAACTCATGGAGGATGGACTCTGCTTTGACTATGCGAATGTTTAAACCCATAGATGGACAACGAGTGGCCCGGAATTCTGAAACTTTTATGCACTTTGCATGTTAAAGGACCCTTACAGCAATTCTTTCTGAGGGGTCCACAGTAGACAGCTGATGTCAAAATTATTACTCATACAATCTCGATAGTCATAACAAAAAAAAAAACAAAAAACGCTAACCTATCAGAACTACATTCAAACCATTTTATTCAGTTACCTAGTAAAATATTAGCCGCTGGCAATCGGTATATAATTAAACAGAAACAAAATTAACTTCAATTCATTTTTAAGAAACTACGTAAAATTCAGAAATATATCTTTAAATGTAAGTGTAATGTTAAAAATATCAATTGAAAGCCATAAGAAAAACTCAATTACTGAACTTAAACCTCAATTTAAAAAAAAAAAATAGCACCATTTTTTTATTCGACGACCAGGCAAAAATTAAAGTTTAAACATTTCTCGAAACGAAAAATCACAATTTAGCTTACAGGTAGGGTGGTCCATTAAAGTTGAAAGTTCGCTGGCTTGGTAATTCCACTATCATGACTTACGTTTATTTTTTCTCGTAATTATTTTTGGGAACGTTCTAAAATCCAAAAGACCTTAGGGTAATGCTATTTTGAATTCCGTGTCACTCAATTCAACGTTTTTCGACATTAGACAGAATCATGTCATACAACAATCTTTATATGACACCAGTTTACGTGAATCATAGTGAAATTAAGAAATGGACGACAAGTTGCGAACACGTGTTTTTAAAATCCTACTAAATCATATTATCAAAATATTTTTTAATAAATAAAATCTCTACAGAATCACACATTTAGATTTTAGAGATGGTTAGAATAGCACCAGTGTAGTCTTAGTCAAATTTACATTTAAGTAGTAGCGCCTTCATATCGTCGTTGAAACGATTCATCAGATGGCAAGAAGTTTTTCTTCCGTTGTGCGATGATGTTGAAGGCTTTTGATCATTGGTATATAACTCCACACTCTTGCACCATTTGCTTTTCATGATCTGCAAGAGATTAAGATAAGAATATTTAGATTTGTTAAATTCACCCAAAAATTCATTAAAACAGTATTTGTGTAAAAGTGTTTTGAATAAATGGACTTCGTCAAATGAATTAATCATACTAACTGTTTACCAACCTAATATTCAATTAGAACTTGATTGAACAATAGGGCTAAAAGATCTTAATTGTACCAATATTAACATACAATCGCACTCCATCACTCAGAAGAATTTATTGTTTCCGATTTGCTGGAGAAAATATCTTGCGTTTCAACGACTTATATGCATGATTAATTATTATCTATGCACAATTCTGGGCTATTCAGACCTTCAGTTTAACATTGTAAACACATGTTACTTAAACAACGAACGCCAGTTGCACTTGGTACTCGAGCATCATAAAAGTAGACCAATGATTTGTGTACCTATACAAACATATCATTTGAGCATATTATGAGACATGATAGAATTCATTTGAAAATAAACATGTTGACACCGATTATATTGTGCTCAAAGCAAACAAAAAGAGAGACATATAGTATTACAATCAAATGTTTAATTTGAATAATGACGATTGAAAATCACTGCTAGCTTGGGGATGGCATAAGGTAAAAGAGCCGCCTCATAGTCGATAAAGTAATCGTAAGAGTTACAAACAAAACTGTAATTCAGAGTTTTTGGAATGACTCATGCCATCATTTAGATAAAATCTTGGAGGGTTTACAAAATTTTGAACTGATAAAAAAAAGAGTGGGAGTAATGAAGTTATAACGTTTCAGTGCTAATTGATGGACTGTACTTAACTGTATATCTTTGGTTTTCAAACACAAACGGTAATGTTCTAGAACATTCATGTATGATCTGAACAACCATTCTAATAAAAGCTTAGGCTAAAAGATAACTTACATTAACACAAATATCGTACTTAGATAGTGACAGATAGTCGTTTTCTTGAGAGATACATTTTCATTGGAATACACCTCCCTATTTTAAAGATCAGTCTGTATCTCTCATTTCTTATACCTATACCAAACCAATTGCAACTAAAATTTTCAATTACAAACACATATTGCAGAATCGCACGTGTGCAATTTCCACATTCATATATAATCTGAATGGCCACGTCATTACTGGTGACCTAAACATTGTAAATAACACTTCTCTCCGAAATGTGTTATCCAGAAGTCCGAAATATCACCAATTGGAAACACAACTTCAAAATACCGATGATTTCAGTCGGGGATTATGCCAGGCAATGGGTTGAACACGAGAAAGAAGACGTAGATACTCATTCCGAATGGATTAAGGCTGTGAGGTCGTTGATGTAAATCATTATTAAACTACACAAGTGTCCTTACAAACAACGTTATATTGCTTGGTCCTCCAATTGCTCCACGAAACTTCTTTCTAACTTATTAACATCACTTGTATCAGCAATCAAAACCGCGCTTCAAAGTAATTGTGAAACTACCTATTCTAGAGTGGCGTGAATTAGATGTGGATACTTAAAAATTCCAAAGATCTTTTAGAGTACATACAATAGAAGATTCTTTCATCTTGCAATAATATTAAAACATTTGACCTTTCTACATTTTACACAAGAATTCCTCATTCCAAACTAAAAGACAAATTGAAAGTGTTGGTCCTGCTTTGTTTTATAAAAAAGAATGGCCAACGTAGATACAATAACATTAACGGTACCATTTTATTCTGCACCAGATGCGCATTTCGACAATAAATGTCCCATCAGTGATGCTCGAGGCCAAAATATTTGAAAATCCAAAGCTTATTAAAGAGATGAAGAGCTATAATCCAAAAAGGTAAAAAAAAGTAAGTATCTTGTCTTAGGGAGGGACACATCTCACTTTGTACAAAATCACTCTCTGAAACTGACAGTATCAAGATGCTTGATTTCTTGATTGACAACATATTTGTTACGTTTGGAGGACGTGGTTTCAGCAAACAATCGGCATTCCCATGGGAACCAACTATGCTCCTCTTCTTGTCAACTTGTCCCTTTATTCATATGAGGCTGACTTCATACAAGAACTTCTTAGAAATCTGACTGGCCACGTCATTACTGGTGACCTAAACATTGTAAATAACACTTCTCTCCGAAATGTATCATCCAGAAGTCCGAAATATCACCAATTGGAAACACAACTTCAAAATACCGATGATTTCAGTCGGGGATTATGCCAGGCAATAGGTTGAACACGAGAAAGAAGACGTAGATACTCATTCCGAATGGATTAAGGCTGTGAGGTCGTTGATGTAAATCAGTATTAAACTACACAAGTGTCCTTACAAACAACGTTATATTGCTTGGTCCTCCAATTGCTCCACGAAACTTCTTTCTAACTTATTAACATCACTTGTATCAGCAATCAAAACCGCGCTTCAAAGTAATTGTGAAACTACCTATTCTAGAGTGGCGTGAATTAGATGTGGATACTTAAAAATTCCAAAGATCTTTTAGAGTACATACAATAGAAGATTCTTTCATCTTGCAATAATATTAAAACATTTGACCTTTCTACACTTTACACAAGAATTCCTCATTCCAAACTAAAAGACAAATTGAAAGTGTTGGTCCTGCATTGTTTCATAAAAAAGAATGGCCAACGTAGATACAATAACATTAACGGTACCATTTTTTTCTGCACCAGATGCGCATTTCGACAATAAATGTCTCATCAGTGATGCTCGAGGCCAAAATATTTGAAAATCCAAAGCTTATTAAAGAGATGAAGAGCTATAATCCAAAAAGGTAAAAAAAAAAGTAAATATCTTGTCTTAGGGAGGGACACATCTCACTTTGTACACAATCACTCTCTGAAACTGACAGTATCTAGATGCTTGATTTCTTGATTGACAACATATTTGTTACGTTTGGAGGACGTGGTTTCAGCAAACAATCGGCATTCCCATGGGAACCAACTATGCTCCTCTTCTTGTCAACTTGTCCCTTTATTCATATGAGGCTGACTTCATACAAGAACTTCTTAGAAAGAAATAAAAGACGATAGCAGTATCCTTTAACTTCACTTTCCGCTATGTAGATGATTATCTCTCACTAAATAATTCAACATTTGGTGACTTTGTTGAACGCATCTGTGAACGCATCTGCATTCACAGATGACGACAGATATTTTCCAATAGTCGAAACTACAATCCCAACCCCTTATCCCCGAATGTGAACTACCGAATTAGACTTATCACTGCTTACTTTTCCGGGTCGGTCTGCTCTGTCTATAGTTTTCTATGTTTTGTTTTGTGTACTGTTGTTTGTCTGTTGGTCTTTTTCTTTTTTGGTGATAGCGTTGTCAGTTTATTTTCGACTTATGAGTTTGAATGCCCCTTTGGTATCTTTCGCCTCTCTTTTTGAATTCAGCGCCTGCAAGTAAGTAATGCTTGTATTAATAATATGAATTGTCGAAAGAGTAAACTAGGGAGATCTTGCTGTGCGGATACTGTCAAACTGCACGCTAGGAGAGAGATGTGTGTACAGGTGTAGTGTTAGGGTAAGGGTTAAATGTTCAACTCGTCATCTCACTATCAATATGCTTTTGTTGTCAGAATGAATCACCTACATTTAAAATAAATGACTTGTTCACTAACTAGGTGCATACTATAAAGCAGCCAATTAAGTTGTCTTTTTTGAAAAATTAAAAATTCAAACTTAATTGTCCATGTAATCATTAGTAATTTTAAACATATTCATTGGTAGAATTGGAAAAAATCACATTATCGTAGTAGATTTTATATAGATTGCGTACGCAGTATCAAGTTCTGCATCTTTTGTCTTTTTGTGCCAACTTTAATTAAAAGTTAGTACGTAATAACAAATTTTTCATTTGAAAGGGTTTTTTTTATTAAGGGTTTTGGACGAGTGACTTGCTCCGTCAATTTAACGTTTGATTTCGTCAGTTTTTATGGAACTTCCCCTTTTTTATTTGCCTTGGATTTCGGTATTTTTTTCAAACTTTTTTTATAACAACATGTCTGATTTACCTTGTAGAGATCTGCTTTTAATTGAAATTATTTCATTTCAATAAAAAGCGATAAAAAAATCACTTACATTTTCTGCAGCAGTAACCTCTATTTCAGCGCTCTGTTGATCATTATGGTATGTATGATTGACATGTATTTCTCCATAGATGTGAGCTTTAACTGAAAATTTATCAAGTATTCTTTAATTAAATTTTCTATAGATAAATTTTTTTTTGAGAGTGTTTCATTTACTACTATCTAGGGAGTTTGAATCAAACTTGATATTTGCTTTACTTCGCATTATTTTCGTTTCTGCTTGAATGTGGATTCAGAAAAATGTAATCCAAACCCCCAAAAACCCAACAGCGATCCCCTGATATTATGATTCTAAGAACATAGATTGCATTGGAACATCCAACAATATACTTGTCATGTATTTAGAGACAATCATTGTGATCAGTGTGAGGTAATGAAGTCATACAATAACGAATTGAAAGGTTCTCAGTCCGCGGTCTCAGTGTGATATTTCCATAAGATGGAATAGGCCACGTTTGCTCCCATTTCACAAAGAACCGCGCAAGGACAAATATAATATGTCGATGGTAAGAGACAAATTTGCAAAAATATGGAGATTAATAAAGCCCCGAACAATATATTAATAGTATGGAATTTCAAGAAACGAATGAGACAGCCGACATCAACCAATGAACTGCCATGATAACTTATCAAACTGATGTGAAACTACTAGATATCAAAGTGTGTTTAGATAATATAAAAGGTTTTCTGTGTTTGATTTTATAAACTGCACACAGACGTAATCACTGAATAGGAGTCGTAGTTATCAAAGAATTTTACATTTATTTTATGTACACTAATGATGTAGTTTTCTTTGACAACATTTTGGTTTGACAATGATTTTGTAATTTCTACTGCTGGTTAAAATAGTACATCGAAATTTGTTTTCACTTTTTTTTTCAATAAATGATTTTCTACTGCAATGACGATTTCGTCCTCTGTTACTTCCATTTCAATTGTTGTTTAACGTAATAGACTTTTCTGCTTTTTGCCAAGTGTTTTGATGCATGTATTTGTTTTTACATAATTAATCTAAAAATCTAGAAACTAACCTCTCGTTATATCAGTTATTTCATAATCCGGCGCCTTCTTTGAGTTGTACCATTTCCTTCGGGATTACAGAAAGATATTCATAAATCACTTATATATATATAATATATTACTATATTTCTTGAAAGGGTTTGCGTAGTTTGTTATTTTAATTTTATTTTATTGTCCGTGTGCGTTACCATTGTAAAGATTATGAGTTTGTCTCAATCAGCTTTGTAATGGGATTAAAAGACTTTTAGCCTCCGAATTACAGAAAAGAAACAAGTTACAACTTGAAAAATCCGAAGGAGCATACATGTACATCTCGTGGACACGTTTTGTCCTATCAGCGAAATGAGCACATATAACCGCCGTTATGCATGATATTTGTGGATTGTTTTGGTAATACTTGTCTGTGTGTTCTTTTTGGAAAACGAAGTATAAAAACGACGAAATGATAAACTATATAGGCATAAGCCGTATCGTGGGAGGAAATAACGCTACAAAAAGAAAACAGAAAGCTTCCAACGTGTCGAACTTGAAGATTCAATAACTAACAATACCTTTTCGCATATATAACCACAACTGTCATTACTACTACAATGACTAAGACACCACAAACTGTTCCCACTGTTATTGGTATATTTCCTGATTGCTGTTGCTCTGGTTCTGTAAACATAAATATATTGGTTGTAATTTACTTAAGCGTGCTGATCAATAAGATTTAAAGTAGTATTATATATTATTACACAAATAATGTGTATTATTATTCAACATTAAAAGATATTTAGCGACAAAGCCGTTAAGAGTAATAATCAAAGCAGAGTTAGCATGTATTAGATAACAGAAACTCAATTTAGCCGAAACTACCAATTTCTGAAGTATGATTAAAAATTGGCCGATCGGGTAAGTTAGTTGACCTACCAAACATATGTTATAAAGATATTGATTTGATATTGAGCAATTGTTTTTAAATTGTTTATCAAAGACATGCATTTCTTATTTGTATGCCCTTTCAATTTTAAAAAGCTTATATTTGAGTAATAATCAATATTCTACAATATATTTTCTTTCTCATAAATAGTGCATATTGTAAAAGTTGTTTGATTTATTTTCCAGTCTTGATGATGACTTTGACTGTTCATACACATTTATTGATATACAGTTAAATGGTTTTCACAGGTTAAGGCTGTGTCAAGGGATATATGCAAAATATCGTTTTTTGTACCTATGTAAACTAATGACACGCTACAATTATTTTTCTTAATGTTTCCTAAATGATTTTCTTCAAAATGTTGCGCCAAAAATATCCATAATGTTATTATTTAACCGTTTATGTACTACTTGCCCATATTATATTCCTAAACGACACTTAGTTACCTATCTGAACATAACGCGACCTGACTCAAGTCAGATAAAAGCCAGGAATCTGAGCAGCTTTACAATTTAAAATTTAAAATTTAGAAGAATAATATATTCTACATTAGTAAAATTAAACTGATCATTCTCAATTCATTTGTTTAAATTGCGCAAATCACACACACACACACACACACACACACACCATAAAAAAAAACCACCCACACACACACACACACACACACACACACACACACACACACACACACACACACACACACACACACACACACACACACACATATATATATTACACATCTGAACAAGTTTGTATAATAAGAACAGCTCGTGGTAATCTAGATCTTTATGCGAAAATGCATGACGATAATAAAATTGAGAATGGAAATGGGGAATGTGTCAAGGAGACAACAACCCGACCATAGAGCAGACAACAGCCGAAGGCCACCAATGGGTCTTCAATGCAGCGAGAAACTCCCGCACCCGAAGGCGTCCTTCAGCTGGCCCCTAAACATATATGTATACTAGTTCAGTGATAATGGACGTCATACTAAACTCCAAATTATACACATGAAACTAAAATTAAAAATGATACAAGACTAACAAAGGCCAGAGGCTCCTGACTTGGGACAGGCGCAAAAATGCGGCGGGGTTAAACATGTTTTTTGAGATCTCAACCCTCGCCCTATACCTCTAGCCAATGTAGAAAAAACAAACGCACAACAGAACGAGTTTTCTTAATTATTGTAAATTGTTCCTTCCTTAATGCTGATGCATATCTGCCTCCTTCTCATACATTTTTGAATTGGTGTGGTTTTAGCGTTTTTAAAAGAACGATATCAATGTAGGTTATATTTTCATTACAAAAAATTTTTCACAGCAGATTTATTGTTATCATGGTTATCAATTGGTAAACTTTTTGTAATGTGTATCACAAATACAGAATGTATTGTGAAATATTAAAATAAGAAGATGTGGTAAGATTGGCAATGAGACAACTCTCCACAAGAGCCCAAATGACATAGACGTAAACAACTATATATCACCGTAAGGCCTTCAGCAATGAGCAAAACCAATACCGAGTATGATTCCTTCTGCAGGAATTTAAAAAAGGCATGTTAAACCCCCATTTGCTGACGGTAATATCATTTATCAGGCAAACTAGTTGAGGAATTATCTTTTTTACATGTATTTTTTAAATCTTTCTAATAGCAGATGTATTCAGGTAATTATACAGATGCTGTTTAATTATTTTGTCGTGTATTTTTATTCTATAAAACAAGTTTAATTATTCACGACATTACACAAGATTGCTACATTGATGTATGATATATACACTGTTCACACACAACTTCTGTTTACCTGCATTTTTGTATACTTACAGTTGAAGTCCGTTGCGGATGATTTAAGTAACTGTGGGAATTTCATACGGTTAAGTTTATTGTTGTTTTACTTGACAGTTGTAATTGTTTTATCAATTAAACGGGTATATGCCAAAGTATTGTGTGCTAACGTGTACTTTGATATTCTGGATCACTAATCGAGAGACAATAATGGGGGGGAATTAAGATTTTAAAAACTAGTTTAAACGGAGATACTATAAATGTTTCTGTCTCATATCAGAAACCTCGCCAGTGGTTGTATTTTGATATGTCTTGCTGCATTTGTCATTTAGGAAATTTGGTTAGTGGGAGAGTGTTGCTACTCTTTCTTACAACTATTAAGAACTTTTCTAGACCTCAAGACAAGATAAAAAATAACATATTGAAAAGACACTTGTCTATTGATGAAGACAGTATATTGATTTCTACATGTCATTTGGTTTTTGTGGTCTTAGGATGTTGTCTGCTTGACATACATAAATGTATAACTCATTTCTCCATTACTAATGATTCTTATCCCGTGTTGATTGTTTTATATTTTGTCTCTGATTCGCTGTCTCATGAACAAATTTCTCACTATCCTTCTATTTAAACTAATCTGTTTACTAGTTCCACATATAGCTACTGGTGGCCTTCGGCTGTTGTCTGCTCTATGGTCGGGTTGTTGTCTCTTTGACACATTCCCCATTTCATTCTCAATTTTACTGATTAATAATAAATATCCTTTTTTTTTTACACTAGTTTGATTATAATTCAGTGATTAAAGATGTAACGTATAAGCAAGGGGAATGAATATTATCTCTCTTCCTACATTCCTATAGAAAAAGGGTAATAAAGTCATGAACAAAACGTCAGATTCCACAATCAACATATCCTAGTATTTATAACATATCTTAGTATTAACCTTCCCCCAAGGGTGAATCGAAATATGTTCAATACAGGTCTTCTTCCAACCGGCAGTAAAACCCTTGCCAAAGTGGTGCGTCCGTTTGGCTGTGCGGGATGTACAAGTATGCAGCCAAATCCGGTCAGAATGGGGAAATTAAATCCGATGCCTCGATTGCAATCGTCAATTTATTCTTCGTAAGATTTATAACCTTTTAATTGTATCTTTTCTCCTTTTTCGTACATTTTCGTGAAAAGTATAAAAGACGAAGACAGCATCAATAAACATGTAGACAAGAATTACCGGTAAACATTAATAACTGATATTAATATTTAAAATGAATAGTTTTGTTCCAGGTGAGCGATATCAGCTATATTGAGCCTCTTGTTTCTATTGAATCGTTTTGGGTCATAGAATACCTCTTTTGGAACTGCATTTGCTTTTTTCGAGTTCATATTGATATATGATAGAATCTTCAACTGCGGCTAGGGTAAAGTAACAGGAGATCATACACCTGCTCAGATTCCTGACCCACATTTTAGTTGTGGTAGGTCGGGAAAATGTCATTTACGAAGCATTTTTAGGTAGATAATATGTACGAGGGAAACACATAAACGGTTAGTAAGGTACTTAAAGGGTATATTTGGTGCAAAAATATGGAAGTAATTAAATTTGGAAACACTGAAAGGTATATCATTATGTTACATTGATTCCTATCAAAATGCCGTTTTGCCAATTTTAATTATCACATGTTACAGTAAACTTTTCGACTCTATATGAAAAAATATATATATTATTACTAGTAACGAATAATCGAAAAAAAATTAGATGAATTTTTTATACATTATATACCTATATGGAGTTATTTTCTCTTGAAGAATCAACCCGGACGATACCAAGTTTCAACGAAATTTGCTTCAAGGCATAAAATAATGACCTTTTACTTTCCTTGATTAAAATTGCAAACTATAATTTACTTAAACATTTGATTCGTTTGATAGTTAAAGTGTGTTGTTGATTAAGGCAGAAACAATCATGTCCTCCATTTATTAAGACTGAAATACAAAAAATCGCACATTTTAATTTTCGAAACAAATAATGAGATTTTGGTAATTTATCGCTACAATAAAGGGACATTACTTGAGATGAATTTAATAATGCAAAACTTTTCATCACAATTTTAAAACAAGCCAGAATTAACACATTCGTGTGTAGGATTTTGATAATCTTATTAATTCACATAGTATTGGAAATCATACTTTGACCTATGGATATTTTTTTGTTTTATATTTACATGTATAACGATTTCGTGCTCTATTCGTGTTAGTTCTTAACCTTTTACATCTTTGTATATATTTTACTCTATCAAATTATCAATTGACCAAATATTGCTAATTTCTATAGAATAACAGCCACTTACTTTATGATAGGGTTGGGTTGGGGGGTAGGGGGTGGGGGGGGGGGGGTATACTATTTAATTCTGACTAAGTTCTCTGTTCAAAAAAATTTGTATTGCCATTCAAAAGTGAAGAAAACAATTACTCTGAGCAGTTCGTTAAAAATTGTTGAAAAAAATCATCTGCTTTTCCGCGATGAAAATGTCAGGAAAAATGAAAATAAATAGCTTCCTCCTTTCATAAACTAAGTTGATACAGTAAATTACTTACAAAGTGACTTGTATTTTTCATACATCGTAACAATTCATTTGCGCCTTGCTTCATGCAGCTACAATTATATTTCTATTGAATCTGAATAATGATTGCTAACGTTCATATCTAGATTAATTATTGAGTTTTATTTCACATTAAAAATGAGCCGTAGGGCGTATTAAAACCTGAACGCATCAGAAAAGAATATACCACTTTAGTGTGGTCGGTAAAATAGGATGCAAATATATGAATGGCCGTTCGTGTCATTGGCGGTATGTACATACCGTATGAATTTGTCAACGCGTTGGTTTTTACTTTCAACGCGTTGGTTTTACTTTCAACGCGTTGGTTTTTACTCTCAACGCGTTGGTTTTACTTTCAACGCGTTGATTCGTAATTCATACGGTATGAAAAACCAACGCGTTGGTTTTCAATTCCATACCGTAAGTTTTGCACTTTTGTCAACAATCAAAATGTTTGTTACAAAGTATTTTCTAAAAATATCCTGTCGTCATTAGTGTATCTCTCTAACTATTCGGACAGCCTCCGGATTTTTCTTGAGATTGGCGGTAAAGTATAAATATGGCTGAATCGTCCGCAGCCCGTCTGCAAATGTTAATAAACAGGGCACAAAGATTGAATACAGAAGCAACTGTTGTCGAAAATTAAGATGACGATGATTTCTTGTCTGGGTAAGGTCCGGTAAAAGATTTTTGATAATCAAAATTTAAGTCAAAACACTTTTATTTATATTTATACACGTCCCTGTTATTATTTTATTGATGCGGTGTTGTAACTTGTATCAAAGGGGCTTGTCTAATTGGTCAGGCGAGTTTTAATTGAATATTTTTATAGAATATTAAGTTTTTAGATACAGCTCTACTTACACTGTCAGTCATGTCAGTGTCATCATCTTGTGTTGTTATTGTAACCCAAACAATATACAATTATGGCCTTCAAAAGTTAAAATCAACATGTACACTTATTAAATCGAGAAAAGAATTATTGAGGTCTGTTAGATTTAATTATTTTGGATGTTTTAAACTTTTATGATAATTAATAAAGACATTATGTACTTGTACATGCTATTTACAATGTTTTATTAGCACAGTCATAGCAAGGTTTTGTTATCATATGAAGATAAGACATTGCAGTGTTTGTGACCTCATTATTCTAGCAAAGAAAGAAAAATAACAGACATTAAACTGAACAATCTATAAACAATGTTAATCTCTCAATTTAAGTGACTACATATAAAGTTTAATTTTCTTCTGTGGTAATAATGCTTAATGCTTTCCTAAATAGTTTAAGCCCATATTCCACACTGCTAACGTTTTCTAGTGGGTTGATTCCTGCATCCAATCTTGAAAGAAGATGGTTTTCAGGTGTCCTTTGAGGAATTGTCTGTATGTCTTCATCTTCACTATTAATGGCTACATCCTCATCATCCAAATCGCTAACACCTTAGTCTTCTGGAGGTAAAGAATTCTGAAATTCGTCATGATTTCCAGCATTTTCGAAAAGTTTTCACAAGCTTTTATTGGTCTTTTTCCTGAATTGAACTTAGTCAGAACACCTGTTATGAATAGCTGACTTGGTGTTTTGTGATTTTCAGTTGATAGTGGGTGATTGTTGTACTGATAGTTAAACATAACTTGGCTTTCATTTAATCGTGGAATAAAAACATAGAAAAAGCAAAGCATGTGTACTTCTTCAGTTATATCTAGTATTTTTTTTGTGCTCCATGTATGTATCAGTCCACCACTGGCTCTTTCAATATCTCGACACAACAACTGTAATCTGCAAAATATTTTTGTATAACAAGTTGAAATTCAAACTACACCGTCGTAGGTATTTCGTTGCATATTAACTTTAGTGATTTCATTATTATTTCAAGTCAAGAGAGTTCAAGAAATTTCGCGAAGCCTCTTGTGTCCTAAATATAACCACTGAGCTTGTAGCTGAGTAGAAATTGTGTATGTTATTAAAATTTTCGTATAAAAACACTTCATGTCTGCAGCTTGGTAGACATGGGGAGTCATTGATTCCTTTCCTCTGAATTCCAACTTTCCTTCCCAAACATTAAATTTTCAGAATTCCGTTCCCCTGTTATTTCATTTTATTTGTCAAGTATAAATTAACTATATTTTTAGTCATCTTTTCTCCCAGTTCCTGTCCCTAACTTCTGATTCCCTCTGCTCTAACCCCCGATTTTTAACCCCCTCATTCCCGGGTTCCAATAACCATGCACACTTTCTCATAATACTGTAAATTTAGTGTAAATACTTTACTATATATAAATTGTATATAATTTTTCAAGGAACCTCTGATAGCAAACTATCTGAACGTTATTCCTTTGAAACCCAATTGTTGTAACTTTCATGGGTGCAGCTCGTTTCGTAACATGGTCGTTTCGTACATAGACGATTCGTAACTAACTAGGTCGTTTTGTAACTGAGACGTTTCGTAACCTTATGACAATATATAATAATATGAGTTGTAGGTTATGGAAAAAATGTTGAATAAAAGTTTCTACAAAACATTTGTTATTGCTTGTAAGGAAAATTATATCTTTTGAAGGAGTTTTCCACCTAAATAATTTTCTTTGTAGTGGGTACTGCTTGAATGTACGCTCTGACGAGAACTCAGACTGTCAAGAAATATCTTTGGACTTATCATGTAGTTTTTATTAACCCTAAACATATATCAAACATGTGTACCTTCTTCGAACATTTTCTGATGTATCATCGTCCATTGTATTTGAAGTGCTAATCCGGCTGCAATAATTCACCATTTCCTTGAATCGATACGTGTAGCCATGTAGTAAGTCAGTAAGTATCTTCAACAACGGAGAATATATTTTCCCGCCAAACTTAACAACAATTTGGAGTCCGTCCGAACGGTTAATTAGATTGTACTTTGTTAAAAAGATTTTGATTGGTAGACATAAGTGGAAAACTTACGGTATGGAATGAAAAACTTACGGTATGGAATTTTCATACCGTATGAATTCAAACGCGTTGAAAGTGAAGACCAAGGCGTTGAAAGTGAAAACCAACGCGTTGAAAGTAAAACCAACGCGTTGAAAGTAAAAACCAACGCATTGAAAGTAAAAACCAACGCGTTGAAAGTAAAAACCAACGCGTTGATAATAAAAACCAACGCGTTGAAAGTAAAAACCAACGCGTTGAAAATTTCATACGGTATGTTCATACTGCCAATGACACGAACGGCCACTCATACAAATCCTACAAATCTTTGCAGAAAATAATATTTTTGTTACGGTATACAAGTCAGATAATGCATATTTTAAGGTTTTTCTTGTCGTATAAAAAAACCTTGGGGTATCAGGATTGCCCAAAGAAAGACCTCCCTACGGTCGTGCTTTCATTTGATCAATCCTGACACCCCTCGGTGTGTTATACGACAAGAAAAATATTAACATATGCATTATCTATAACATATATATTATTTAAGGGTAGGAAAGTTATAAATATATAAAAAAAAAATGTATCGGTAAATGTCAATTGCTTCTCAAATACGAGGCCTTCTATAGAGATAATTGAATCAGCCAACTATAAGAAAATGTCTGATAGACTGTTATTTTCCTTTGTATATTTTAATTGTCTTTTATAAAAAGGGCAGTAGCTATGAGACATAAAAAAAATTAAAATATGATTTTGTTTTGTTCAATCATTAATGAAAGTGATATAGTGAAATTATAATTCGCTTTTAGCAGCCAGTTTGGTTCAACTTTGTCAAAATAAGCAAAGAAACATCGCTGATGAACAATTGACTGGCAAGTGAATAAATCGACCTTATTGAATCCGTATTCGTCTGAACCTCAATTTAACCCTAAGCTAGAGATGGGTTACGCATACACTAGGCGTGTTCAGCTATTAAAGGGAAAAGAATGTCAACATTAAAAGTGAAACAAGGTTTAACCATTTGATTGACTGATTCGATCCACAAAACTCATTTTTATACAGGTAAACACTATAATGAACATATTTTTAAATCTATAATATGAACCCAAACAGACCTAAAATAATCCAATAGCACGTGTTCGCTACCTATTTATATCTATATGTATGTTTATATCCCGCTATATGACCGTCGGCAGTCTTCGAAGGTCACCCTGATGATCAATTAGATGGCGTCTAGACTAAAATACACATGAAATGCTGATACCTATAATCAAGTCCATGCATCGTAAATTGTTTATTTTAGACGTTGTATAATTTTAAAATACGTTTTAGTATGTTTTAAATCAAACATGAGAATTTGAGTCAAATCGCTGAACATGAATTTGACAGCTAATGCCCTTAAGAAGAGTTAGTACTTACCTTTCATACAGTTTATCAGACACATACACAACTTTTATTTATACCTTATTTTGTTTCAATTTAGATTGGCGCTCAATATCAATTCAGTATCTTTTTAACCTCTTTTTATAGTTGATCTTATGAATTAGCCAATTTGCCAACGTCTTTTGTTATTTCGGGAATACATGTTTTAATTGATATGCCTATACATTTAAGTACATATAATGTCTTACAATTAAGTTTAAAAGAATATTATTTGTAGTAACCTGCACATTCAGAAAGTTCACATGAAAGGAGGTCATATTCTTCTCCATGACAACTAGCGCCACCATTGGCTTGTAATGGATTGTCACAATAACGTCTCCTTCTTTGTTGTCCAGTTCCACATGTAACGGTACAATCTCCCAGGGAATTCCAAGAGGACCATCCTCCATCAACTATTAACAGAAATACAACATTTTATTTTGATCTAATATGCGCCTGTTTTCAATAATTTCGTCCGCTAACAATCGCAGTGTTTCTTTATTTTCAAAGGTCAATAATAATTTTTTAGTCATTCTAGAATTTTTTTTTTTTTTACCAATGGAGTAACACTTAGTGTTAAACATTATACTTTTCATGATTATAACTGTTCACGTTTAAAAGTAATACTCATATATCAAATAGGAAATAATAGGAAAAAATAGTCACCTGGACATGCAGATAATGTACAGGAGATGTAATCATATTCTTCTCCTTGACAATGAGATCCGTTGTTTGCTGGTGCAGGATTAGTGCAATAACGGGTCCTACTTTGTAGTCCAGTTCCACATGAAACGGTACAAGCTCCCAAGGAAAGCCATGACGTCCATCCTCCATTAACTTAAAATACAATGTAAGTGAAATATTTCAATGAGGAAGTGTGTAATTACTTTTAATAATTTCATTTGAATACAATCGCGGTGATTCGGTGTTGTGTTGAATTGGTTATCAGTTTAAATTTCTATACGTTTTGAAATCAGAATATTTTCTTGACTAATGAAATAACTCTTAATAGAGAGAAACACACAAGCGACATTATCATCTGCATTAAACAAAAATAATAAAACTTCTTATGTATATCTTTTCCGCAGGTTTATTGTTTTCTGTTTGGTATTAAATTGATAATTAAGATCCATTTTGTTACATCTGGTGATCCGTTTATTTGGCAATCGCTATGGCAATCAGCAGTGTTTAAGAACATCCGTTGTTCGACCTGCTAGTCAAATGCGTTTTGTTAAAATATACTTTTTCACTTTTTTGGTCTTTTTGGAAAATGTTGTTAGTGCTGTATTTATACCCCTCCACCAAGACATTTGTTTTGCATGCACACGTATAAAAATTGCGGTTTTTTTATCCAACGCAATCATAGGTTTGAACGTTATTTTCAATTTAGACTTGTTTACAAACAAAGATGTATATACATTATATAGTCAGCTTTCAATTATTCTAAAATGTAACATATCCTAGTATTATTTAAGGACATTATTCTTTAAAAACAATTACATTAACATATATATCATTATCTGAAATAAATACAGGAAAATCAGGTTACCCGGACATGCAGATAGTAAACAGGAGATGAAATCATTATCTTTTCCTTTGCAGTCTGCACCACAATTTGCTTGTGGAGGATTATTACAAAAACGAATCCTTTTTTGGAAAACATTTCCGCATGATCCTGTACAAGGTCCTGAATTTGCCCATGACGACCAACCTCCATCAGCTAGAAAAATATATAAAAATAAATTTTCAAGTACTAAATGCTAATTTCCATCAAATATTTAATGTTTTATTTTATCTTTAAACAATGTTAGGTAACGGCTAAAAGGGCTTACGTTAATTTTTTAAACATAGAAATGCAGAAATGAATTTGACCAACCAAGATGTATGTTTTAAATATTTTAACATAATTTTCAAATATTACTGTTGTATTGGATGTAAATTGGGTAGTCTCCATTTCTAAGTTTCAAATTAGTATGTTTCAAATAAGTATTTTCTGAATTAAATGTTTGCTTAAATATAAAGTAGCTCTGCTAATTCAACTATAAAAATAAAATCAAGTCACTTTATATATCTATTGAATATTATTGTTTTCAATATTTTTTCAATACCATATTTTAACACATCTTTGAAATTGATAAGGTTTTCCTTGAAACTTGATCAGGAGTGACTCCGATGTAAAGAAGCATACTCTCCACGTGTACATATGAGCCGGTATTTGTTTGAAATATAAAAAAGTATATATGAGCCGGTAGTGTATCATTGCCACCCTTCTCTATTACACTTTAGATGAAGTTTAAATTGGACTACAGCTTGCAGGAATACACTGATTCCACTCCAGTTAATTATCAGCAACTATTTTTGCATTGTTTAGATATGTTTTACTACTGTTAACAGGGAAATTTTCGCGCCAGCTTTATTTTCGCTATTTTCGCGGTCAGAGTTGAAACACGAAAATAAAACAACCGCGAATATTTCAAGGAAATCCGAACACGAATATGAAGACCACACATGAACGTATGTCAATAGGATGACTAATTCAAAACATCGGTTTCACAGACGACAGATCTATACCGCAAAACATAACTTTATTTCTAAAGGAAAGTCAATGTTAGATATGAAAACTTTATCTCATGATAGTCCTAATTAATCCTAGTGGACATTACGGATATTGCTAAATGAACAACTATAGTTACAGTCATGTAAATGATACCTGTCAATCAGTTTTAAAATGATTACCCATTGTATCTGCTGCACCGATCAATCAGATTAAAAGATTAAAAGTTAAAAGATTAACTAATACGCAGCAATTCTGTCACAGTAAATTCTTTACACAACGCAATGTATAAAAATACAATTGAATTTGCTTTATAAACTTATTTTTTGATTTACTATTCTTATTTGATTTCATTTGACTTGATATACTTTTCTTTTTGATTGTATTTGCAAACTATTACTATTTAATTATATTCATTTTTTAACTTAACTTTTGAAATACAATTTCTTTTTTAAATTTCATTCCTCTATTTTTTTTCTTGATTGTTGTACATTTGTAAATAAATTTTTGAGTTCTATTTATGTATGTCTCTGTTTAGCCAAAATCTGATGTCAGGTTTCACGATGATCGAATCGGGACGAAGTACTAGCCACAACACGTCCCGGGAGTTGTCGACACTGACCTCCTCCTGTTACACTGTATTGATCCATATGGTACTTTACTCATATAAAAACAGAGTGAAATGTACAGGTAGCAAGATCAAACAAATATTTTCTGTTTTTATTTCTTATATAGCAAGCCAGCGTTTCAGCGTTCCCCTTATCATTGCATCCTATTTATACTTTGCAACCTGAACACGATCATATCAAAAACGGCTGATTATGTTTACTATATACATTACTCGCTCTCTAGCTTTGTATGGCGCCATTTATAAAAAGGACATAAATGTGTGAATTGTTCATACAAAATTACTGGTTGAAAGAATAGCGATGTTATTTAGATGTTTGATAACATACTGTTTTCCAAATATTACTATCTGTCGTATGACATACTTATGTAAAGTAGTAAAATTTACAATTTGTAGGGCACAGACTCAGTTTAAGTGACAGAACGAATCAGGGATGGATGTACAGCATATTAAAGCTCGTAGGAGTTAGCAATTCTATAAACTGAAATTGTACATTCATGGAAAGTTAGAGTGTCAGAAGACTCATCTTATATGTACATTGCATTACGTTTTGGAGTTCAAATATACTGCAACGTTATTTGGTATCCCGATAAAGACTAGCTGTTAAGTCTTATTGTAGATTTTCTCGTTCCTGTAATTTCAAATATGTATGTTAAAATTTTATATAGAATTTAACGAATCACCACATGAAAGATGGTTTTGATACTTATACGTATACCTCTACATATTTTTGATAGGAAAAATGGGGAAGGATATAAGACAAATAAGAGCTAGTAGGATATTGCAAATCTTTGAACTGAAATTGTACATTCATAAAAAGCTAGAGTTTTGTAGTGAAAATTTATATTAACCTCTACGACGTACATGTACCACATACTAGATATATACTAAACACTTATAAATTCAAATATATAGACAGTATATTCTTGTAAACAACCACAATTCGAATAAGTACCTTAATGGAATTTAATTAAACATTAATAGTGACTGATGCCGTTTTTCAATCTTGATATGATAATTCCTAATCGAAATTTGCAGACTAGAAGTAATGATAAACAGAATGAATTTTGAATTCCAATTTTTAGTTTTCCTTTCCTGATTGGCTCATTGTTATTGAGATTACTACATTTCTCAATTGGTTCTTTCTTGTACCCTTTGTTCGTGAAATGGTTGAAGTTTAAGGGAGAGGATTAAGATAAAAAACAAAACCTTTATGTTATCATATGCATATGACTAAACTAGGTCAGGAACCTCGTCGGTTTTTTTTAATGTCATATTGCATGTGTTTGCTTATTTTTATTTTGGAGAATTTGGTGTTGATGGGAGACCTTTAATAGTTTCTTTTAAATTAAATTACAACTTTTAGAGTCTCCGTACGATTAGGAACTTGACTGACTGTATACACGTCTGAATTTTGTGAAAGACTGAATGTCGATGTGTGTATCTCTTTTTGTGACTGATGTCTTTGGATTGCTGTCTCATTGACGTAGTATCCAAATCTTTGTTCTGCTCTTTTCAGTACGAGTACGAACCATTGGTTATGGCCGGAGCGGTCCAAATAGGGATAATATTACATACAATATACGGACTAAACGCATAAAATACCTACAGTACATTGTAATGTATGTACAGTAAAAGAAACTTGCTGTAAATTTGAAATTATAAGTAATTGTCAATACATTCAGAAAAGAAGTGAACTGATTGTATACCTAGTCATCATGCTTAATGATTTTTATCAAACGCAAGGCGAGACAAACACATTTTTATGCAAATATTATTGATTAGTAAGAAAAAATGGTTAACATATATAAAGTTGTTTGTTCCAATGAAATTGATACCGGAATAAAATAAGCATTGTCTTACTATTTGAGTGACTTGATACTTTAGAATGATTCAAATTATCTCTATTGAAATGAAAATTTAGCAAACAACAGTGGCAGAATTGGGAACAAATATCATTGTTATTTTAATATTGGAAAAGGAGCAGACGAAAAAGACATTCTATCATAATATTTGTAGTCTGCTTTGTTGATATTGCAGAAATCAGAAACCAAATTCTATAAAGTTTAAAAAATAGTTTCTGAACACTATTAAAGAAGAAAATAAATAAAACTATACAAACCAACAAACCATTACATAACACATTACTATAAGGCTTAAGAGAAAGCGCACGTAGTTTTTCCTTGCTTAATTTCTGGAATTTCATATAGGAATTCAAAATCAGGGTCGGCTGTGAGCTAAACTTCACATCGTAAAATATAATTTGAGTTTTCCTATTGTGGACCTTCATTTCTATGAAGCAAAATTCCAAGAGGTCTCTCAAAGTTGATACGATATACTATGGTTTGCACTTCTTCTTTGGCCGTTATTGTATATTCGTAGATGTTATATGGTTATAGTTCATTAGCTACAATCGTGTGGCTCCAACTTAAGGGCACACGATACAATTTTGAACCCATGATGGATTTTTGACGGAAAATTGCTTAAAGGATATTTTTACCTAGTCAATTCAAATATGTTATAAAACATATCTTCATGTGCTACTTATTAGAGATAAATGCGGTCAGAATTAACCTTTACTAAAAACTTTGGTTTCTCGGACATTTCTATACTTTATACAGACATACCTAACTTTTGTGTTCCTAGAAAACGCAAGCAGATTTTGGTAAAATCATTTGCAATATCTTCTTTACATAAGTATGCTCTACATTTGTTTAAAACTTTTTTGGAAAGAATTCATTTTTATCAAATCTTAATGATTTTAGGAAAACAACAGCACTTTTGGCTGTATATTTATCTAATTTGAAAAAAAATCATTGGTGATTTTTCATAAAATTTGATACAAATAATCTGCATACATAATCAAGCCAAATGTCGTTTTTTAAAAGAGGGGTTCATGTACATGTACTCGTTTTCGAGCTAATGGTTAAAATCAGTCAAACATGCATCTTTTGCAGATGTGTCACAGTTTGACGTTGCGAGAAATGACATCTTACATTTACTCCCGTAAAACTGTATCGTTCTGTGTAGTGTTTTGGACTGTTGTTTGTTTTTTCATCGATTTTCGTTTGTTCATGGTGTTGTCTGTTCTTTTTCGAACTGGTTTTTTTCTATTGCTCTTTTTGTACTCTCTACCGGTTTTTCCAACATCCATAAATGTGAATAGTGAAAGATTGCGGATCCTGACTGTAGAAAATTAAATCTACTAGTTGCTCATAAATTGACAATTTGTGTCAAGTGTTAAATAGCCATAAGTCTAGACACATTGTATATAAATTTAACAGAGACAACAAAATATCATCTTATATTAACATTTAATCTCACATGCGGTGGAATGTGAACAAAATTCTATGTTTGAGGGATCAGTAGATGGCCTGTTACAAGTCAAATTTCTTCTCATGTTCAATCTACAATTATTTTCCGGTGGCAGACCAAATTAAACTAAATAAATTATGAGTTGATCAACCTAATTGATCTCTTTAGGCATAAAAGAATTATTAGTTACAGAAATATGTTATAAACAAACAAGCCAATTATAATGCATCAAGCCGATGAGTTGCCACAGCAAGATAAGATAAACAGCGTCATTAACATGTCATCAAAAACACAGGCGCTTAGGGATTTGATTTCTCATTCTCTCTCTCTATATATACATATATATTTTGTGTTTGAATTTTTATAGTAACTGTTCTTTAATATTCCAACTTGTTATCAGTTATTCAATGTGTTCTTGTTCTAATCCATAGAATATAACAATAGAAGTTTTATCTCGCAGGCATTGGTCTAACAAAAACATTATATATCTGAATGTTATATTTAGGTATATAAGTTAAACTTTCAGAGACGAGTCAAATGCTTGTGTTTTATATGAAGTCCCTCCATTTTTAAGTGGTCCGAGTTGTCTTTAAAACTAATAAACTAAGTCTTTAAATGATCTGACTAGTTTTTAACTGTTCCTAGTTGTCTTTACACGTGGATCGAGTTGTCTTTACAAGTGGTCCGAGTTGTCACATATACACTTATATCCCTTTTAACCATGTCGACCTTCCCTGGGTGAACCTGCCTACTGAAGAAATTGTTAATATTTTTGTCTTTAATGTGCACAAAACATTTGCATTTGGACGTTATGCAAGCAAAAATAAACCAATAAACCAAAAAAAAAAATACAACCAACTGCAGTGTTGGGCTTTATTACAGTCGCATTAACATGTAAGGTTGAATAATGAAATAACGGAAACACACAAGGAAACTTACTATGGGTTAGTACAGTACATGACTCTCTTTGAATGGCTTCACCTGTACATGTACCCGAGCAGATGCGTGTTCTCTGACGCTCACCAATGCCACATGCAGCATTACAATCACCCCACGTTGTCCAAGTCGACCAATCTGTGATTTTAGACACACACAAAAAAATATTTACAAACGGTAATATTTAAGTAAATAATATATAATGCAAAAACAATAACGGCAGAACGCAACCAATAACTTCCACCTAAATACAGGCTCACTAACAGATGGCAGATTTACACATGTATGGAAGTCTTAAACCCTTAACCCTTAACCCAATATAGGAGGGATGTGTAAAAGCACAACATAAGAACAACGGATTGAAATTCCACTGTGAAAACCAATTAAAATGGTTTGGATTCGATTTTTATTTATTCATAAAAGCAACAAACAAAATGACAAAAGACAAAAAAGATAGTAACGATCAAGGGGAACTCCGAGCTACTGGATGCTAGTTCTAAGTCCAAATTCTATTTATGACGTCTCTAATGTTTTCATAACTTTGTCCAGTACCTTTTGCTATTCTTGGAAATGAAATACATCAAAATAAAGCCACATTTTAAAATAGACCAGGTTTTCGAAGAATTTTGCTTTTTATACAGATAAATTAGAACAGACTTGACTAAGACCAAACATATTTGAATTAACTACAAGCCAATTGTCTAAAAGGTACTGAATATAATGCAGTGGATATGTCTGAAAATTGACAGAAAGATTTAGAATGACTGAATAATTTATTGTTCAGTCTTTTAAGAGCTATAGGATAAAAATTATCGTTCAGTTAAAATTGTGTTTACTAGTGCTGGTTATGTATTTTTTTCTCTTAATATTTAAATCAATGTTAGGTCCGATAAAAACAATATCAAATATCTTATTACAACATTGAATTAAATACTACAAAAAATAAGTTATTAATATATGTATTTGTTAATGTCATGAACACATTCGTTAAGTATTTTTTTTTACCTTGGTTATACGATCTTAATTAAGCGGGAAGAACTGTATAGGTAATTCAATTTTTGATAATGTGTTATTTGACACTTGACTTTCGGACAGTCCGGTCTGGTAATCTCTGACCCATCCACTTAAAGTTTATCAGATTTGATGTTTTATTCGATGTGTTCATACTTGTAATACTGATAGAAATGGGTGCGTATCGAATAATATAAGAATTAACATAGTAATAAATAACTTGTAATAATAAAAAATAGTAATTAATTTTTTTCTTTTGTAGATTGTAAATTGTAAATGTAATGATAAGGAAGCTGCTAAGGACATGCAGTTCAAAAACATTAACATAAGTTATACATGTATGTTATAAAATTAATAAATGCCTACTGGGCTGATATCACACATAGTGTTTGTATTTATTTCATAGTTTTGTTTTTTCTTTTCGTTTGAGTAGACCAAAATGTAAGTGTGTGTAAACATTTTGCCCATTGTCACCCAGTAGTTAAAACTTTAGACCTATTATGAAAATTGTATACATGAAAATAACGCATTCACCTGATAACGAAACTGTAATTTGCGGTCCTTTCATTCCATTTAGTGGCTGACAGTAATAAATAGCAAAATCATCTGCTGTTATAGTTTTTATTTTCAAAGAATTAGTTGAAGACATATCGTATTTGTCGTTGTCTGATAATGTTTGCAATCTATTCTTGTCTATAATATACCAATATAAAGGTGTTCCTGATAAAATGCAGGTCAGCGCGACTGTTGAATCAATGAAAGTTTGAACTGTAAAAAATAAAGAAGAAAAAAGTATTCTGATATTGGAATTTAAATTACGTGCGATGATATGCAACAAACACTCTAACAAATGACACATAATTCTTATTACAAATAGACAGACTGCCTGAGTTGAACCTGCTTGAAAGCTAGCGTTTCGCATTTATATACAAGTTTAAATATTGGGAAATCAACCGGTGGAAACTAATTAAATCAAGTAAACAATGAATTAGTAATAAGTTTGAATTTATAAAAGGAAACATTCCAAATGCTTCATTCATAGAAAAACTGTCTTTCTCTTTATTGAAAGGAGATAGCATATCAACGGGTAGTAACGTCGTCTTATCGAGGAGCATTTAGTTCAGTGATTTTGTCATCATTTGGTACAGTGGGTCATGGTTTGGTAAGGTCACTTTCCAGAACGATTGCCTCAGTTCTGTTCAAATAATCAAATAAAAAGCAAATAAGATGTTTGAAAAAATATTTTTAGTCAAACGATCTACATTGAAATTGTTGTTTTTTAAGAATTTACGCAGGAAAAGAGATTGACATGGTTCAGTAAAGTGTCTAAACAATTTTATCGAATTTGTCATGGTTTAGATCAAAATTAATATATACTCGTTAACCTTAATACTATTGGTTTGTTTGAAGGCGCTTGTAAAAGAAGAAGTTGCACCATTTACCAATTGAGTAAGAAAAGTAAACTTTTTAACCAAATTTGGTGAGCGTAATTAGCAAACCGTAAAACTTCGAAAATTTTATGGACGCCATCACGATCGAATTGGTCGACAGTTACGGAATATCTGTTTCACAGATGCCGACGAATATGTTCCAATTGTCGTAAACACAATCCCGTCCGAATAAGACTTGTCACTGGGTGTGTACTTACATTAGCAATACGACGGCTGCATCATGTGGAGCAAGATCTGCTTACCCTCCCGGACCACATGATATCACACCCGGTGTTAGTTGGGGTTTGTGTTGATCAGTCATTATTTTTCTCTGTTGTACTTTGTGTGCTGCTGTTCGTTTTTTGTTGTTTTTACCCTGTCTTGTTTTCGACTGATGAGTTTGAATATCCCTTTGGTATATGTTGCCTCTCTTTTCCAATTATAGAGTAAATCTCAATAATATAATCCATTTCAACTGGCATTCGGTAAAATAAATAACAAAAACAGAAAGCGTTGCTTCTTTTTCACCTACAATCATTTTTCTGTATGTCGATGATGCGTGGACTCTGTCGGGGATTTACAGACATCATGAGCAGCATCATTAGTCAAATGATTAAAGACGTTTGCTTTAAATGGCAAGACATAGCGGCTAATTATTCTTGTTTGATATTTTCTCTAGCAAACTATTCATGGGTTGTTTTTATTTTGAACCAGACTATGTGAAACAGATGACAACATAACGGTAAACCAACTCTGATTGCGTCCGTGAAATTTATAAAGGGATGATTTCAACTTCACCACTTGGAACTCTTGGTTTAATAGCTTCCTTGTGAGCAGAAACCCTCTATCAAGGAAATCATGATAGGAAATACAAGCCCTGGAATAGCGTATCAACTGGTAGATATTATATACTCCGTATGCAGGCGCTGCTGGAATGTTGCTACATAGAAATAGAAATCATCTCTTTTGTGGTTAAGTTTTGTTTTCAACCGACCCTCATTGTCAATTTCTAGATGTAAGTCAAGATATGAGGCAGACTTAACTGTATCTGTTGTATCCTTTATATCAAGTTCAATGGGATAAATGCGGTCAACATGTCACCAAATTTTGATTTTTTTTTTTAGATATCACTTTATTTCCATCAATTGCTTGTTACATTGACTTCAACAAGTCCAAGCTCCTTGTGAAGAATAAATATAATTTACAATTCTATTATATTAATAAATTATAAAACATCAATCTAATAAATGTTTTTTTACATTAACTAAGAATTTAGCTTCTTCCAACTTTTTAGTATAACACATTCGTTTTGTAAATTCTCTAATGAATAGACAAAATACATCAAGTCTTTTCATTTTCTGATCAGATAAATAGTAGTATTTATATATTGAATATCCAATAATAGTAATAAGATAGTAAAACCAAAGTAATATTTATCTGATATTTTATAGCCAAAAACAAGATCCTTTAATGTAATATCTTTTTCTATGTTTACTTTTTGCAATTAATTATAAATTTTTCTCCAAAATTTGTTTAAAAAGGAACGTGATATAAAATAATGATAATAATCTTCTTCAGTAAAACATTTGTTACATAAATCATTGTTTGTTACCTTCCATCTAAACAATTACTTTTTTGTAGGTAATATACTTTGTAAAAGTTTCCATCGATACATCTTCAATTTATTTTCTTCTAAATAGTAAAACAATAAAACTGTACAATGATTTCAAATGAAATTCTGTTTGCAATGGTAATACATCCAACCATATATTTATACCAATCGGTTTTCTAACTTTTTTCTTTACTAATTTATTTGACAAAAAAAGAAATGTCAGTATAATTGCCACTTATTGACAAACATTGTCTTTTTACATTGACTCTACTTCTATTGGAACTCTCTGATCTTAGACATTGTACCCAATCTTTTGGGATTGCGTTTTTTAAGGATTTTAACTCAGCTATCCAGTTGGTTTTATTTTCTATTTTTTGCAAAATTACATTTTGTGAAATTTCCCAATTTTCATCTAAAATATCATTTATATAAATCAAATTACCGTTTATGCAATTTTTGAAACATAGACTTTTGTTATCAAATTTAATGTATTTATTCCCCAAATAATTTTTTGTCTAATTTCGTAAAAGGTTTGTAGTTTATCTGTCTGTCCTCCTCCTGCTTTCATCTAGCTTTTTAATACATGTTTATAACATTTTGGAATATTTTGTAAATATTAATCAACTTTATTATAATCCATATTCATATAAACTACTAGGCTGTTTTTTCCAAAGCCTTTTAAATATTTTAAAGGTATAAGTTGCCATTTGACAATATCTGTATTTAAGATTCTACCTATTCATGATGCTTTAAGTGATTGAAAGTGACTTTCATAATCAATCATATTCAAACTCCCGTTTTCATAACTACCAGTCATCATATTTCTTTTAACTTTATCTGGTTTGTCATTCCAGATAAATTTAAAACATTTTCTTTCTTTTTCTTTTTTATATTTTTCTCGAAATACACATGAGCTAGCTAAATAGGTGAAGAGTGGTATAATCAAAGATTTGATGATCAAAATTGTTCCTAACATAGTGAGATTTCGCTCTTTTTAAGGAAATTACAACTTGTCCATTTTCTCTATTTTATTTTCAAAATTTAATTTCTCACATTCTTCTTTATCATATCCAATATAAATTCCTAAAGCTTTTACAGGTTTATCTGTCCAATTAATATTTGCTGTCTTGTCTTTACTTTTTTCGAGTTTTCCTATCCATAACCTTCTTTTTTATTTTTATTTATAGTTAATCCCGAATAAGATCCAAAGATTTTAATTTCATTTAATGCTAGTTTGATATCATTTTTATCATTAAAAAATAAAGTTGTATCATCAACTAGTTGGCTTATTTTAATACAATGTGCTTTCCTATCTGAAATCCTTTTAAATCTTTGTTATTTCAAAGTCTCAGTGCCAATATTTCAACGGATATGACAAAAAGTAGAGCAGATAAAGGACACCCTTGCCTAATCCCTATTGAATTTTTAAACATTTCTGAAATCCACCCATTATCAATGATACATATTTGAATATCATTATACAAAGTTTTAACCCAATTTATGATGATTCATTGAATCCAAAGTGATATAAAGTATATAACATAATTTCCATTCAAGAGTGTCGAAGGCTTTTTGAAAATCGACAAAAACAATAGCCCCTTTTATATTATATATGTCTGCATAATCTATAATATCTTGAATTTGCCTTAAATTGAATCCTATAAATCTATTTTTTATGTATCCAGATTGATCTATGTTTATGAGTTTTGGTAGAACTTTTTTCAGTCGTCGAGCTAGTACACGGGACAGAATTTTTAGATCTACGTTTGATAATGAAATTGGTCTGTAATTTTCTAATTTTAATGGGTCCCCCTTTTTGAATATTAACGACAAAACACTAGACCATTGCGAGTAGGTCAATAAACGTTCTTCATGACCCTTATTATATACGTTAACAAGTATATATTTAAGCCTCTCCCAAAACATTTTTTTATTAAATTCTACGGTTAGACCGTCAAGCCCAGGAGACTTATTCAATTTCATGTTTTGTATTGCCTCAGAACATTCTTCACGCGTAACTGAACCATCACACATCAGCTTTTCTTTATCATTTATTTTTTTTTCTAATTTTGTATTATTAATGTATTCTTGAGATAATGCATCATTCGGATTTTGTGATGAAAATAATTTTTCATAATAGTTTTTAATTACAAGTAATATCTTGCTTTGATCTTTTAAAACATTGTTTTTTTTCATCTCATAATTTATTTATCGATTTTTGAATTTGTCTTTGCTTTTCAAGTCCATTTTTCTCTGGCTCTGATGTGTGTCCCAATGGCTTTCTCATTATAAATCTTATTCAGTTCTGATTCTAAATTTTTAATACGATCATTCAAACTAGAGTTACACATGTTTAAGTGGTCTCTTTCAAACATCTTTTCTTGTAATTCTTTTTCTAAGGTGCGTGTGACTTCTCTTTTGGTTTTAGCTTTTGATTTACAATATTTTAAAGTAGCGTCTTTGATTTCAAGTTTTAATATATCCCAAAAAAATCCGACAGTCTGTTTCTCTATTTTGGTATTAATTTAAAAAGTTAGTAATCAAATTATTAATTATTAAACTTTGATATTCTTTATTTTCTAAATAAGAATTATCTAGTTTCCTAAAACCATGCTCCTTTTCCGACGCCCCCGTTTTAAATATTAAACAAACACTCAGATGATCAGTATACTGAATCGTTGCTTGTTTAATTTTGCATATATCTATCTGAGGTCTAAAATTACTAC